AGATTGTGGCGGAACTTTTAATGCCCCATTTCCCCATCTTTTTTATCCAGCCCTTAACAATCTTACTTCTTAAGTATCTAGCAAGCTCCCTTTTAAACATCCCAATTGTTCCTGCATCTAGGATAGTGGAGGGACTCTGCATTCCCACGACCCATTGTTATGCAATTGTCCTAAGTCGCCCTGTGATCTGAAGAGGGAAAACTTGAGCTTCCATGAATTTTGAAACATACTCCCACTAAAGAGTCATCACCTTCAGGACAGCCGATCTCAATATTACTGGAATTGACAATAATACCAGAGATTTTAGGTGTGTTGGGTGTGAGTGTGAGGAGTGGAAATCCACTTAAAGAGGTTCAGAGAGTGTGACTGAATTTAGTTTTAAAAAAATTCGGAGTATTAAATCACGTTGGTGTTCGTATATTCTGACTGTGGTTTGTTCAATGCTCTTCACATTCTACTGTTGAACAAATCTGTATTCAGCAGCAAGAGAAAATGACAAACAATAAATTTCATTCTGACACATTGTACTGTCATGCCATGAAAGCACATTATGACAAGACAGCTGATATTGTGCTTCACTCGTTCAAGGTGCAGAAACCTATGCACATTTTCTTATAGAAAGACTGTTAGATTTTGCTGTGAGAGATATTGCTATAATGCCCTGTAACTTGGGGCATATATGAATGCTTAACACAAAAGGAACAAAAAAAATTGTAGTGAACAATGCCTATATATCAGAGTTAAGTAGCTTTGTGCAATACAGTGCAAGGCATTCAACTCTCCTCAGCAATGTTATTCTCCTACCTTCTGCTCTAATTAGCAAGCAAGAACAGTGCTGGACAGAATCCTTTGTGAGTGCTTGAGTTTTACTGATCCTCTCACTCACCCATTGTGTGTTCCAGAAGTGCTGCAGGGCAGGGTAGTGTTGGCATTCCCTATCCATCTTCTCAGAACTCCACCGCGCCTGAGATCTAAGCAGTTGCCTACTTTCTTCTCGCACACTTCTAAAAAATGCTGTATCACATTAGTAGTCCATCCGCACAGGGTTGGGAGGGTCTCTTGCAATAAGGATGTGTAGGCATACTATAGGCAGTGCATGTGCAATAGTAACTGTTGAAATTTTGATAGGAAATCAGGACCTAGACGTCCTGAGAAATGAACAGAAACATATTCGTTGAATGTCCATTACTCAAGCATTTATTCCCTGAACTAAGTCTGCCAGCTCCAGGAAAACCCAAAATATTATTTTAACGCACGTAGTTTTCCAGCAAGTGTCACAAATTTAATTTCTACTCATTTAGCTACCAAGTGTTCCAAGAGTATGCTCATTGTAAAAAATAAATCCTTATTACCTTTTTTAAAATAATGTATTCCACTTTTGAAAAAATAATAATAATTTTGCTGTTCTGTGCGGAGCCACAGAGAACAATGCTGTTTAAGGGGATTTGACCTTTTCTGTGCACTGATGTGAAACATGGCACAAAATACAATGATTTATTTTACAATTGTAGACACCACTTTAAAAGGTGAATTGCTGCCATAATTAAGTTGAGGTCATCCTCAATGCTCTCTGTGCACATGTATTTACATATGGCATATAATTCGCTTTTGTTTGAGCATGGTTTACACATGGTACATATTATATCCAAGTGTACTAATTCAGAGGTAGAATCCAAGTTAATATTGTTTTACACAGCTAACATAATTTTCCAGAGTATATCCAGAGTACCTCCCTGGGCTGAGCAATATTCCAATAAAAACAATCAGCCATCAGGCATTGCCTGATTGATTTAAATGTTCAAATTAAGATGTGTTTCAAGATTGCAGAAGAAGGTGGTACACTCAGTAACAGAGGATGATTCAAAAGCTCAAAAATGCTTTACTTGCAGGAATTTGGGTGAACTGTAGGCAGGATCACTTACAGATTTTATAGGTCTTATTGGGTGACTTCAATAGTTTCTGAAGCACAATGTCAGTGCCAAGAGGGCATCAATTTAAGTGGTTAGCAAAGGAGAAAATGGGGAGCTTAGGATCTTTTTTTACACAGAGGTTTGTTGGGATATGGAATACCCTGGCGAGTGGGTTGGTAGAGGCAAGATCTGTATCTGCTTTGGTTTGGATACTCTTAAGCATGGTGATGAGTTTCCTCATGTGCCAGACACCCAGCTAACCAAAAAAAAATTAGCTTTCAAAAAGGAATTAGATAGATATCTCAAGACATATCTGAAGAGGAATAAATTGCAGGGGATATGGGTAAAAAGCAGGTAAATGGCACTGAATGAATTGCTTTATCAAAGAGCCAGCACAGACACAATGGGGTGAATGTAGCTTCTATGCTGTAAATGTCTGTGGTATATGGTACTTGCTTAGTTACAGTCCTGGAATGCCAATACACAGCAACTCTCTAACCCGAGGTATCAGTCTTTGAACTGATGGCTTTTTTTCCAACAATTTTGCCCATTTATTTCAGCTTCTGTCATACAGTTAACTTCTAGCCCTTGAAAACTAAACTGAGTAATTCCTCATTCTCTGGGTGCTGTCCTGAGTTCCTCTCTTTTTTCACTGCCTTAATAATCACAATTAATCCCTTCTAACCCAGTGTGACCCCAGTAGAAAAAGAGAACCTGCCCTTCCTCTTTCAGTTACACAGAAAACCATGATAATTGTTCAAAGGACATCCCAGCTTCAAAGACTGATTAGATAGTAGCTACACCTAGATGCATTGTTCAAGATGTCGCTTCCTTCCTCTGCAGAATTGAAACACGTATTAAATTGAACATTTAAAACATTCAGGCAGTGGACCAGGTCAGACTTGTATATCTATCCCCACTCATCCCCCCCTCTCTCCTCCTCCCCCAACCCCTACCACTCTCCCACTCTCTCTCTCCACACCCGCCCACCACCCCCCCCACCCCCATATTTACCGATTGGCCATTCGGGTGAGCTACTGCGCCCCAGGCTATACTCCAGAATTAGTTGATGAAAAAGAGGGATGAACTTGATCCAGCAAAAAACGGGTTAGCCAACGTCTATTTGACAAGGCATACACCTCAATTAGGGTCTGTCATCGTTTTTTAAAATGAAAATTAAATGCTTCCCTCTTGAGGACAAAATTGTTGGGATTCCTGCAAAACTAAGCATGGTGTTCATTTCATTTGACCTTATGTAGTCCACATTCTTTGCCTTCATCAGAAAGGAAAAAAATCTGTTTGGTTTACCGTTGGCTTTATAGGAAACAATCACAGGTCTAAAGCTTTATTTAAAATAGGTAATACATAACCTGATCCTTGATTTATTGCACTACAGATTCAGATTCAGGAACTCTCTCTCTCACAATGTCATACACCACTGTATACCAAATTGTATATTACTGTACACAGTACTGTATAATACCAAGAGCCAGGTATTTCATTTAAGCCGGATGAACAGTAAGTAGTAGGAAGCCAGCTTACTGCTTGCATACAGTGATCGTTAAAATGCTTCTGCCCTTCCGTCTACTACACACCACCCATCACCCCTCCCACCCCGGCCCCTACCCATCCCTTCCTCCACACCTTCGAACCTGTCTCCCACTCCTCTCTCACGACCACTATAACTGGCATGAAACCGACGACCTGCTCCCTCGACCCCATCCCTACCCCTCTCCTTACCTCCCAGCTCCACCTCCTTACTCCTCTACTCACAGACATCATAAACCTCTTCCTGTCCACTGGTACTGTTCCTACCCCATTAAAAATGGCCATCATCACTCCTAACCTTAAAAAACCCTCCCTGGATGCATCTCTACTCTTAAACTACCGCCCCATCTCCAAGCTCCCTTTCCTCTCCAAGGTCCTGGTATGAGTTGCTGCTTCCCAGCTTCGCTCTTTCCTCTCCTGCCACTCCCTTCACGAACCCTTCCAATCGGGTTTCCGTGTCGCCCACAGCACAGAAACCGCCCTGGTCAAAGTGACAAATGACATTCTGTCCATCTGCGACCAGGGGCTCCCTATGCCTCCTCGTCCTCCTTGACCTTTCTGCTGTCTTTGACACTGTCGACCACTCTATCCTCATCCACTACCTCTCCTCTCACATCAACCTTCATGGCTTTGTCCTTGACTGGTTCAGATCATACCTCTCACACCGCCGCCACTTCATCTCCACAAACGGTTTCTCCTCTAGCACCCACACCATCTTGTGTGGCATTCCTCATGGCTCTGTTCTTGGTCCTCTCCTCTTCAATATCTATATGCTCCCTCTTGGTGACATCATCCACAGACATGGGGTCAACTTCCACTTGTATGTGGATGATACCCAACTGTTCCTCTCTGCCTCCACCCTTGACTCCAGCACCGCTCCTGCCTTGAAAGATTGTCTGTCAGACATCAAGTCCTGGATGAGAGCAAAATTTCTTCAGTTGAATGTCAACAAGACCGAGGCTCTCCTGATTGGCTCCCGTCAGCGCCTCCACACCTCAGGCACTGACAGCATCACCATCCATGGATGCACACTCTACCTTACTAAGCCAGTCCGGAACCTTGGCGTCTTGTTTGACCCTCAACTATCCTTTCTACCCCACATCTGTGCCATGACCCACTCTGCCTTCCCCCACCTCCGCAACATTGCCCAGCTCTGCCACTGTCTCAAACCACAGGCTGACAATACCCTGATACATGCTTTCATTACATCGAGGCGCGACTATGCAAAATCCTTGCTTGTCGGCCTCCTCAACTCCTCCCTCCATAGGCTGAAGATCATCCAGAACTCTGCAGCCCGTGTCCTCTCCCGCACCAGGCTCCGTGACCCTATTACCCCCATCCTCGCTCAACTCCACTGGCTTCCCATTACACAGAGGATACATGGTCTTGCTCCCCCATGTCTGCGACTGTTGTTGCACGCCAGCCCTTTTAAAACAATGTGGAGGTTGAAAAGACTTACTATTAAAATTTGTGTCCCAATTCAATACAAAATCTATTTAATTGTTTTTTTGTACAGTAACATTTCTGTCTGTTTCCTTACAGCCGAGCTATTAAAGCTAACCAAGATCTACTGCCAGAGACACCTTGGACAAATATCTTTTACAATGACTTTTGGGGAACCCTTCTTACACACAGTGGCAGCCACAAGTCCTTCCGCCCGCTGTGTACTCTTTCCTTCCGCCTTAACTCTGCCTTTGGAGGCTTGGATCCCTGGAGTTATCATCTTGTCAATGTGTTATTGCACAGCGCAGTCACTGGCCTCTTCACAAACTTCTCTCGGATACTGTTTGGTGAAGGATATTGGACGTTTATTGCAGGCCTGCTGTTTGCAGCTCACCCGATCCACACAGAAGCAGTGGCGGGGATCGTAGGAAGAGCAGATGTTGGGGCAGGGCTCTTTTTCCTCCTCTCTTTAATGTGCTACATCAAACATTGTGGGTCCAGGGGTCGATCTCTGCGTAGCTGGGCCTGGTTATTGGGAAGCTTCACTTGTGCTGCATTTAGCATGCTCTGGAAAGAGCAGGGAGTGACTGTCCTGGCTGTTTCTGCTGTCTACGATGTTTTCATCAATCGAAGGCTCAAAGTCTATCAGCTCATCTCAATGATTTACAAGGTAAGCAATGGTTGACTTAACAGAGTAATGCTGGTATACAGAATGCACATTAAATACAGCCAGACTACTTTAGTGCTGCTGTATATGAATGCTGGTGACTATTATACACTGTAACGTCTCATGCCAGAGTTGTATTTCAGTTCAGAAGTTGGATTGAATGACCAAAGTGGAAAATCTGAGCTGATGTATTTCGTTGTGTGGCAGCCTGGCTCAGAGGTAGCACTCTCCGCTCTGAGTCAGAAGGTTGTGAGTTCTAGCCCCATGTCAGGACTTGAACTCACAGTCTAAACTGGCACTCCAGTCTAGTGCTGGGTGTGCATTGCATTGTCAGAGGTGCCATTTTTTGACTGAGATGTTAAACCGATGTCCCATCTGCCTGTTCCAGTGAACGTTAAAGATCCCATGACACTAGTAGAAAAGTGAAGAGAGTTTGTCCTGGTGTCCTCACCAACAATTCCCTCAATGAAACTTGCTGCCACATTCTGCCCACAAAATATACAGTCAACCACCTTACACTGTATCCTATGAAGGTCTTTGAGACATCTCGATGATGTGATAAGGCGCTATATCAAATGCAAGGGTTATTATTATTGTTTTTACTGTGAATTGATGCCAGTGTGAAGCAGGAGTTAGTTTTTTGTGGCACTAATTTGGATATAATTGAACTTTTGGTCTGTTCATTTGGATGTTAAAGTCGCAATTCCCTACAAATACACAATCACTATATTTTACAGTGAAACTCTGTGAAGGGCTTTGAGACGTCTCAGTGATGTGATATATTAAATGAAAGGATTATTGTTACGTGCGTGAGCAATGACAAAAAGGTATCCTTTGGGTATGAGCGAGCAGCTGCATTAATAAATGCTGAGCCTGGGATTATGTAACCAAGTGTCAGCATGACATGAGAACTGACCTGGAAAATAGCCCTCAAAATTCACATCACATTTTTAGAACATATTTTTCATGCGATGATATTGTAGCTGGTGTATGCATACTTGCTCAACAATGCAAATCATTGTATATTTTTAAAAGAAGTTGTTCAGGTTATTTGATATTTCCAAGCCATTCTTTTTGTCAGGCACAAATAGTTTATGCAACGGATCAATCCAGGTATTTTAATTTACAACCATACACTTTAATGGGTCCTTAATAAAAGAATTTGTAATTCTCTGGGGTTTGAGCCAATGTTCAATCAAACAGTCAAACCGACAACAGAAAGTCCCATAAACTGGCATGTTTATAACATGCCATAACAAGTGGCATGTTATCAAGCGAGGGTTTAAAGTGCAACGTTCGTAGTCCTTTCAATTCTTACCACTAAACTCCCTGTTATGTTACACCCTAACCAACATAAAGTCCTGCAATGATCAAATTATTTGGCTTGAAAAGCTTGACATTACTAAACCAGCTAATGAAAGTGTTTTCCTTTTAGGTGGCAGGGTATTGGAATGAAGTTTGAACGCTGTTACATTCGGTTAATTAAGATAACAGATACACAATAGATATTGTCCTCCGAGTTTAGTTGCAGAGAAGTGAAACTACTTTGTGATCAGTGAGCTGAGCAACTTAGAGTGTAATAAAACGACAAGTAGATTTGGCTTAAAGCATAACTGTATTCAACATGAATTGATCAGAGGGCAGTGAGCAGAATCCATAGTTGGAGGAAGTGAATGGTGCACTCAAAGTGACTCTGACCATAGTTTGAAAGCATGAAGCAAAGAGTGTGTGACTATCCAGTACATGTTTACCCTTTAGAATATTTGCAATGCTCGAGAAACTACATTCCCCTCAGATGTATCCAGAATATGGTCACGCTACAGTATTGGAAACTTTTGTTTTGAGTATTTGTGCATGGTAGAGGCAATTATTAAAAAACACACACACACATATTAGAAAACAATATGTTTTTTCAGAATATCGACAAACATTGGTTTGTTAGATCTGTATAGATAAAATTAAATGTACAAAATGTAATAGTATCTCCTTATTGATTTGCAGTTATCCAGTGCAGCTTGTGTGTAATTAAATACTGAGGTCTGGTGTGCATATGGAGTAGGCCAGGGCTGAAGGAAGGAGCCATTAATCAAACCAGCTGCACGTGTCTATCTGTCAGCGAAGCCAATGAAGGCCTAATTTAGGCATCCTTGTTAATATGGTTTTCGTCCGGCTTGTTTTCCCACAACATTTACATGGAGACAGGAAATCTTGCCGCCAAAGGGGCCCAAATGACCATGCCAACCTTTCTGTAAACATGTAGCAGGAACATACCTCTGCGAACCAGGGGGAGAATAGGATGGGAAAGGATGTGCTTCGGAAGAGTTTAAAAAAAAAGCATCAGCAACAACTTTCTTGTTGGACAAAACCCAATTTATGGATGGACACTTCAGGAAGTGTGATATATCCATTAGAATATCGTGGTTCCCTCCAAATGAACTTGCCTTACCTTACCCAAAGCCTAAAGTAGCCCAAAAGGTGAACCCAAGAATGCTATATTATAGCAATAACTTCAGATTTTACCTAAAGCGTTTGACACAGAACAAGCAAAGACATTTTTGACGAAAAATCAAAGGTAATGCCAAGCCTCAGTGTACGAAACTCAGAGTTATAATAGTCATATTTTTTATTGTTGGGGCAGGAGCAATCATTTTCAATAGCATTAGTTTAATTCCTAAGGCCAAAAATAACTCATTTAAAAAAAGCCATAATTCTCAAGACAGAACTGACTAAATTGCTGATGTGTTATTCTTAACAATGATTCTTCCCAGTTTCTGAAGCACTGAACAGCTCCAACAAATCCTTGATCAAAAATTTCAGCAACTAGAGCAACTAAATATCCTTTTTGAATGGAGTGAAAAAGGATCTTTAATTTACGATCTGAATTTGTAGTGCTTTTGTTAGGAGAACAAGAAAAGACACAATAACCAGATGGCTTTTGCACGCTCCACTTCTTTGGTAATAGCTGTTGTCAGCAAGTGATAAGCTGGAAATACATTTCACTCACTGTGTGACTTTGCACCAGCACCTGCTTCTCAGCTACATGCAGACAGGGTTACCGCTCTTTTAGTTATCAGTCAATTTTATTTTCTACACTATTCAGAAGAAGAAATCATCTTCAAACAGATCAACTGGTTAACCTGCAAGAACATCAGTGGTGTGGCTTTATCTGACAGGATTTTTGTTGCTTAACTGGCTTCTTTCTGCCTTTGTTGCCCATGCTGGTTGAATTCAGTCCTCACCTGCCTCTAACATGTGGTAAGCCCCAGTTCAGTCTGTTTATCTTCATGAGAAGCACTGCACTATCAAAACAGTTTTATGGAGAAAGTAAAGATACAGCTGACTGAGATTTAACTTACCAAACATTCCTTTAATTTCGAACTCCTAACACTACTGTAGTTCATTTTTATTGCTTAATCTAAACAGGAAGAAACATTTCAAGGTCCACATTCTTCATTTGCTGTGAGCTATCCTCGGTATATTGGTTTGAGAAGCTGCCAACAGCCTTTTGCCACCAGCTGATCATGTCATATTCTAGGTACACTGAACTAAACAGGGGAACTCGCAATATCAACACCGGAGCATAGCCAGAATGAGCAGGCTCCATGATCAAGTGATTAAATGGCAGAGGGGCTTTCTGTTTGTTAGCAATTATCCTACAATCTGGTGACAGAGAGAGCAAACTTAAAAGCATAAAGGTAATAACTCCTAGGTTTGTAAGTAATTTCAGCCAGCAGTAAGTAGTATATTATGGTGCGATGGGAAAACGTACTAATGATCTTTTCACAATGATCAATGGCTTTGAGTGTTTTGCGTGGTAGCTATTTGGAACCTGCAGTTTTCCTTCAAATGAGCTGCATTCCCTAATTTGACTTCGCAGGAAGTATTATTGAAATTGTGCCGCTAGCATTCCGCCTCATGCATAAACAACTCAGCAATAAATTAACCAAACCTGAGTTGCATTCCTGACATCAGTGTAGAGCAACTGGTGTACTGGGAATTCAGATGAGCCAAAGCCGAGTGCAGCTATCTCCTCTTGTCCACCTGCAATCAGGCCTTGCTTCTCACAGGATGGGTGGTATGTGATCTGAGTGCTCTCAAATCTCTGTCTCCACTTGACCTGGAAACAGGATGGACCCATTGGGGAAGAAGCACTGTATCCTGAACTCTAAATATTGTTCGAGGAGGAGCTCAGCTGAAACCAAATGCAGTATTCAGTAATGTACGTTCAATATTGCATTTGAGAATTGTTGGCAATAGTCATTTTAAAATAACACTTTACAATACAGCTGATGAGCACAGTGTTTTTGATGTTTACACTGTTGATGACAGATCAGCCAGTTTGGCTCATCAGCAGGAATTTGCAGTGCTTTGTTGCGTTCAGCTGCTGTTAACCCTGCAATCCAAAGCACTAATGGATAGGGTGGTCTTTGGAAAACCAGTGGGAAGCTTGCCAGACAGTGTTTGCAATGGCAAGCTATGCACTTTTAGCTGGTTAAACTCCAGTGGCACCCCAACACATATTCTGAGGTCCCCAAGCATTGGCTCTTGCCAATCTGTGCCTAGGAATTAGGTAAGTAGGTTGTGTTCCTCTGGAAAGAGATTATGCAATTCGTTCCAGACATGGGAATTTCTGTGTACAAGTGTCATATATATTTGTAATTCTCAGTCTTGTTTTGATACTCTTAAGCAAGTTGATGAGTTTCCATGTGTCAGACACCTGGCTGACCAAAAAAATAATTATTCCAGAACTCTGTGTTTTAATTTTTGTGCAGTCAGACACTGTAACACCAACCTCTTGGTTCCACTGTTATCATACAGGGTGACCAAAGCACGTTTAACTGTGTAATCTGTTCAGTGCCACAATTTCTGTCATTTGCTTGGTTGCTATTTCAGCTTGTAAGGCGGGTGGGTGGATACAAATTCTTTCCCCTTTTAACCCAACTTCGATAGACTTTTCAACCAAATGAGTTATGTAGCAATGGTGGAGCCAGTCATTGTTGTTA